CAGACCCCGGAGGGATGGAAGGCTTGGTTGGCCTAGGCGGGCATCGATAAAGGATTCAAACTCTGACCGTGCGTGTGATGTAGTGCGCCACTTGCCACTACACCACCTCCGCCCTAACAGCGAACTTATTTTCAATAATTGATGTATTTGGAAGTTTTCGGAAACAATTTCAGAAAAAATTTAATTTGCCAAAAACTTCCTCGGCAGCCGATGCGTTTGAAGTCCCCCTATGACAGCGGCAGAAACCGCACAGTATCACCCGGAACCTTCAAAGCTCTGTAGAACGGAAAAAGTTCGATTTTTTGAAGTCGTGAAAACATTCAATAACTTTCTTTAAATTAAATTGAGTCCTTATAACGACCTACAGAGTACTTGTCTTACTGCCTTACTCCATATGATGACCTGAAGAGGTTACTGCCGTTTTGTTGATTTGTTGAGGACTTTACCGGCCTTATAGAGAATAGAGTTTTCTAAAATTTCCACTGACTAACTTACCACGCAACATTTAAACCTGTGGAAAGGTTACCGCTGCTCAGGAATTGATTTGTGAAGTGGTAGGGCCATAGAAGATTACTTGAGAAGCCTACTAGGGACATGGCCCTCTGAACGACCAACGGCCTCGGTGGGCACGAAAATATGTTGTATTTCCCCTAGACAAGTCACCCTCCATTGAATTCCCTTACAACAGTAGCCGATTTAGATCTGGCCGAGATCCGATCCATGAATTCCAAAGCATCTACCTATCCTTATGGATCAAAAGCAAAATATAGTTGAGTTCGGTAAGTCCTTTTTACGTACCGCTTCAGAGAAGTTGAACGAATTTCGGCGAGGAAGAAATGGCATGAAAGCTCTTCCGAAATCCTCCCGGCTCTGCAGACCGGGAGCAAAAATCTGAAAAAATTAGAAATCACCTGAAATCAGAAGGGTAACGGTTAGAAGCAACTGCCTGACCTCGTCAGAGCGATCAACGGCACTGCGTCGGTTTTTGCCGAATCGAATACTGCTCGTAAAGAAGATGCCTGTAGTAACAACGAAAACCAACAGTACAATGGCTCGTGTTGAATCTCTGGACGACGGCCAAGTGCATTTCAGCAATTCGTCGATGGACGAGCAGCATTCTGCATCTGTAAGTGCAAGAAATTCTACGGGTTTTCAAAACACTACGATGATTCATCTGGGAAACACGGCAATGAATCGAAAGCTTTCACTTTCGAGAGCGCGCGACATTTTTGGTTTCACATCATACGGTCTGATTTCACTTTAGCATCGACCGTACAAGAGAAAGGGTAGGGGAGAGGCAGGTGGAGTCGCTATCACATTCGGGACCGTGCTCCCATCTTGTCTTCCGTATTCCCAATCAACTCTCTATGTCGGAACTGACATTTTCGCTCTGTGGACGTGATCTGATTTGCCACGTAATATCAGTGTTTCAATCCTACCTCCTGTACTCATACCAGTTCGTAAACTGGACATCGACCAGTGTCAAATAAAGCCTAAAGCTGTTGTACAGATCAAGGACCCATTCAAACACTGTTACGTTAATGACTGGAAGTCAAGCAAGTGGCGCATCTCTACTAATGAATGGCAAACACTGATGTCTCCATTCTTTCTAACTTTGCAATGAAACAGGGACAAAGGTATTGTCGGTGCCAATTGATCCCCTTTTGGGATGCGCCACGCACCGGACTTTCATTCAGAATCGTAGTGGCGTTCCGAATGCGTGGCTGTGGCTTATTCAATGATATCTAATGGTAAGCCAATGAAGAAGTCAAGCTTGGTTGGCGTGGCCTCGGCCTGGAGGTCGATCGCGACTTTGCGTATGATGGTGAGCGCCGCTTTCCACTATACCACCTTCGCTCGCTTATAATTGAGAAGAAACCAAAAATTTGCAAGACCTCCAGCATATTCGCTACGAAACTGCGACCCCTTTAGATTGCGCCATGCATTCCACACTTAAGTCGTGGCAGTTTCCGAACTGATAATTCGCCCTTTACAAGTTCTTTGGGCGACACTGACACTATCGCTTCTCCAACAAAGTTCATTTCACTCAAAAAGACATCTCGATCCACAGACGAAAGGAGTTTTGCTTGCAGCGGGCCTTTTCTTATGAGGAACTGTTTCGTTTTTGCTTCTCTTCTTCTTCACAACATTTGCTATAGCAATCGCTGTTTGTGCAGAATAGTGATTCACCCCACTTCCTACGCCCGAAGAAAATGTTTCGGCTTCGGGAGCTTTTGGTGCACAAGAACAAGTCTTGGTAAATATAAATTCGTGCATGTTTTAGAATCATCAATCCCTTCCCATTGGGCAGGTCCCGTCTCGAAAATTGGGGCTATTGGCCGTAAACTCATGTCAGTGTGACTGTAGAACTCGAGTACTTCTATGGTTCTGAAGCTCACCTATTTTTGAGGTATTCACTGGCTCTTTTTAAAATCACTGGCAAAAACGCTACCGCTATGCTATCCATGAGACGTATTTTGACTGTAGACAGCCTGTTTTAACTAGCTCATTAGCAATGTTTACTGTTTACGAAATGCACTAAATGCGCATAAGCTAAAGAGTTACAAAAGACAACATACGGTATTACCGCAGCAAAAAATCTAAGTAAAAGACCGAAGTACTCACTGGTAAGACCAGTGCCATTCCCACCCTTGTGGGTTCACGCATCTCCCAACGACACATGCCTGACGAGCCAAAGTATTCCTCCAAAGGCTACCTCGCAACTCATGACTTTTCCTTAGCACAGGCAAAAATTACGGCCCAAATTCTTGTGATTACGACGATTCCTTTTGCTCAGAGCGGGGGTGACGTAGTACCAAATGGCTCACTACCAAACGCATAGTCCTGTAATCAAATTCAGACGAGCCTTTCATCCCTTTTGAGTTGGATAATTAGTACCTTACACGTCTGGAAGGATAAAAGAACTGGCTGTACATCAGATGGCCATCGAAAGCCAAAGTATTGACCAAACAGGCATTCAAAAGGCCACTACGATTCAGAATTGAAGTTGAATGCCGGGCGCACCCCAAAATAATGATCAACATCAACAAACTTTGAACATAATGATCTTAAGGTCTTTGAGACTCCTAAGGCTTCTATCCTCAAATAAATCTTAGCCTACACCACTGTCTCAAGTATCGAGAGATTTCTGAACTCGAAAAGTAGACGTCAAAGCTGCGGTTTCGGCTAATCTACTCCTACAATTTTAAACTTGGCCGAAAACCTAGACGAATGAGATCCTCGCGTGTAGTATGAGCATCAGCGGAATATTCGGTACGCTCTAGACGTCGCCCCCTCTGCCGGCTATTACCTTTTTTGGCCGATTCCCTATCGGCGATGAGAAGTTGGTCCTCTGTGGGAACAGGGGAAGGGTCGATTCAAGGGACATAGCGTAATGAACATCCTAACAATTCCTCAACCAGAGAATGTATCAAGAGATGGCGATGCTGGTCTACTGTAGGTTTCATCCATTAAAACGAATACGCCCAGCTTCTGTCAACAGAGGGAGACACCAAGACGTAAACGACACCGCCCGGCCGCACGTACCGCAACTGAACTTGTAAAGTTGAACCAACTAGAATAGAAATATTGCTCAGTCATATTCTCGAGATCACCGAGATCCACTCCCTCTAGTATTTTGACGAATTCCTAATCGAAGAAGGCTTCGACCCAGCACAGAGAAGAACTGATTGCAAAAATTCATTGGTCCCTGCACCCCAAAATTAGAATTGAGTGCCTTTACCTCTCGATGGCACAAAATTGGAGTTAGTAGTGGAACTTTTTTTGAATGTTCCCTAAAGAATCCATACACGGCTTTCTGCAAACCTCAGCTTAATATTAGTGTATGAAACTGCTCGAACTCTCCACAAGGTTGACCGACGGATTTTGTTGGATGAACCCCCAACAATATAAGGAATCAAAGCATTCTGCGACCGCTGACATAAGTCACTCAAATTGCTTCGATATTCCTCATCTTCGAAGAAGGCGAACTCCTCGAAAGGTCATCCAATAAGATCCACCGACGGAACTTGAGTGACCTCAACCAGACTTCATTACACATTCCTAAACGGGCATTCCTGTAATTGAGAACACCGCGGAATGAAGTGTATGACCAAGGTCCTTGTCTCGGAGCCTCATGCGGACACGAACATGAACATTGAAATGGTTTTTTCTCAAGAACACCTTGTAACCTGCAAACGCAGGGAACCATTTAGATCTGCCACCCTTCAAATCCACCTAAATGCCCTTTGCAATAAAAAATCAGTGCGAGTAACAGAAGTACAACAGAGGGAAAAGCCGAAATTTTGCGACATTAAGGACAAGATTAAAAAATTGGACCGTTTTTGGTTCACAAGGTTCCCCTCCGAGGGAATTCGATCCTTTTCGAAACGATGCTAAGGCTAAGACCCCTGAAAGGTTATCTAAACCACTAACTTTTCGCTATTTATTGTAGACAGTAAGATTCCTTACCAGAACCTTACTGTATAAAATAAATGGTGATATCTACTACACAAAGCCCAGGTTTTCTGAAATTTCATTAAAAATGGACTGACTATCATACTTGGAGTGGTAGGGGAAATACCGTGAATCTAAAATACGAAGAACCGGCGAATCGAGTAACCGACAAGCCCGCCCATTGTAGGCGGAGCTGAGTTGGCCTGTGTTAGAAACAAAACCCGAGTGAAGTTCTGTGGACGCCGTAGCAATAGTTGAAAAATGACCAATGAATTCTCGATGAATGGTCGGATCCGAGTGGTTGGGACCTTTTAACCAAATATTTTTGCGACTCCTTGATGACCTTAGTTCTACGACGCATACCCACCAATTTTCCGACTAAAGAAAAGAAATAGTACTTACTGAGCATGTCCAATAATTGATGGACCTTCTCGGAGGATATGAAATATCGAGAACTGGTTTCTTCCATCGCCTCATTTTCGTCAACTATCTGAAATCAAAGGAGTCCGGGAATCAGAAAATTTTAATGTTTTTTTTATCTGTTGAAATACAAACGATTGAAATACGCGACACTTACAAATGCCAATTCGGAATACGCCATGCATTTGCCTTTCGTTCTAAACTACAGCAGTCCTTGAATGCATATGTATTTGGCGCATCTCTTGACATGCACAGCGAGTATAGATATTAGACAGTGAGAAGTGTGAATTGCCAACAGGCGCACAATTTCACACCTAGTCCAGGGATAGAATCCTAGGATTCATAATCATCCGGGCCATCCAAGCCCTCCATCCTTCTGCTGTCTGTTGTTTGGTACCAAATTCGTCTGCGTGGATAAACGTTCTAACTCGTACATGGGCTGTCCTCCACAAGTCATTGTGTTGGCCACATACGTATTGAAACACCTCTTTGTTTTCAAATGAAAGCGGGATACGACAGCGGCATTTCGAAATAGACCGGAAGACTCTAAAACGCTATCTACTATCCCATCCCAGTCACAAGTCACTTCGAAGAACCGGAGCTCTATACGACTTTATGAAAATTACACATGTTGCGGCAACACTTGTGGAGGACTTTCATATGGCAGCAATTCAATCCCTGCATTCCCGTGGACCACCCGTATTCTGCGCAGAAAGAAGATGTGGGCAATGCAAAGCGTTACCAGTGACCACCGCATCTAGGAGTCTAACTAGGAATCTTATTACCAAGGAAAATGGTAAGAAATCCAGCCCCTACAATGAGAACGGAATTCAGAACTTCAAAACATCCGAAAGATCTCCCGAAAGACTGAAACTAAATTTCCTCTTAAAACATAAGCAAAATGAGTAGGAGAGACTCACGGGTGGGGTGGGGGGAGAGGGCTAGGGGTTGATAACCAGACGCCTGTTCGGGAAGGTTCCAACTGGAATGAATAAGTGAACAGAGAACCCTCGTACTGGGTTGGCGTATGACATTTTTTGCTGGGTTGGCGTATGACATTTTTTGGACTATGTTTTCAATTTAATGAAAACTTTATTGAATTGTGTTCCACCCCAGCCGTATAGGATCTCCCGACACAACGTCGTTTTACGATTGAACCTCTGGCTACCTAACTTCTACTACAGGGTATCTACAAAAGCTCCACCTTTGGTGAAAGCTCGAAGAGACAAAATTGTCGGTAGTTGAGCTGATAATTTTGTTTTCAATCTTGAAGGCTCAACTAAGAGCACGGGTTATAACCCTAATCAGGCCGAAAACAGTTGAAGATCAACAGAGAAAATGCTTTTGGCAGATGTGAAAAGCTACCAATTGTGCTGGTATGTGTACACCCAGACGGATGACTGATGTGACGGAAGCCTAGGTTGCCAGGTATCAATTCAGGCTAATGACAGCATCCATGGCGAAGGCACACGTTTACCCTACCAGTCACATCCTAATTGGTTTGCGCCTTCCGATTGAGAAGGGCACGTACTGAAGACCAAAGCAGACGGAGTCCGGAAAAGATTGTTTACTGACGGCTTCCAAAGCAGAAGCTCGAGGTGAGGGGCTCAAAAACTAGTAAAGGTACTGTATGGTCACCTCCTGATAAACTCACCTATGATCGCATGGTGTACGGATAGCTATCAAGCAGTTGCCCTATTTTTGAAGCCACGATAGTAGTGACCACATGGAAACTAAGCGGATTCCGCTATTCCTTTACAGTAAATCATACATGCCATCCTTCGTAGATTTCAGAATCTAGACTTCTGGACGTTCTTTGAACTGGAGCAGTAATGCTTACGTCTGGCGACAAGAAAGTACACGCAGCAGGTGCAATATACTCCGATCGCCTGGCGATGGACCAAGCTTGCACCTGCTCGGACTCAGTTCAAAAAGACTCTGTTCTTGACCGGCGAGCAAGCTATACCAAGATTACGGTAGTAGGAGCACTCCTAGCTGGAAGCGACTCGGGTGGCTGGGCGATGTACAAGTCAGCACTTTCATCTTCCCAGACCAGTCTGATACCAACTAATCGACGTTGGAGGAATGGGTGGCTCGTGGCTTGGGTGGACATCTAAGCATGGCTCAATCCCCGGCCGTGCATGTGTGGTAGTACCTCTGGTTACAATTTGGGATTCAATCCTCGGACCATGCGTGGGATAAGATGGCACTTTACCCTACCCACCTCCGACCTTCCCAGAGATATATTACCGTAAACTAAAGTCAGAAGAAGTGATCGTCGTAAATGGTACCACGTAGCCATCTGGAGAGCGGTGCCTGGGAAAAAACACAGCCGACGACTTTAACAATGAGAAAGTCCCATTCACAAGATTTTTACCGATGAGCAGATTTTTTTGGGAACTGGGCCGACCACTATTATGCTGTATTCCTTCATATGTTCAGTTTTTCAACCTTTTTTTCGATTGCAAGGAGTCAGTGAGGTTGATTCTCCACGAGCAGGGCTACTCTTCTCGATTAATCCATGTCAATGATTATGGACGAGTTTGTAAGGTAGCGTTTTTGGACGAGATAGCATAAAAACCCGACTTCTCTATGGCGCACTTCTTGCATGTTGCAACACTTCCGCTATGACGATATGGGCTTGGCAAGCTTTTTGAGAAGCAGACACGCCCTCTATGATTCAAAATTAGAATTCCCACCCACAACACCATGAAATTTTGGGGTAAGAGTTGTATGGTATGTAGGGACTTGGTCCCTCCCCCC